TTATAACCTACTTACTAAGTTCCCCGGGCCTCCAGGTGCTCTCAGGTTGAGATCTGGGCTGAACGTTGGTTTAGGGCTTAGGGCTTAGGGTTTAGGGGTTTAGGGGTTTAGGATTTGGGGTTTAGGGGTTTAGGATTTAGGGTTTAGGGTTTAGGGTGGACCGTAAGGACCCTAAACTCTAGAAATTATGGTAGCTTGCTTATTTATGGGTAATGCAGGGTTTATGTTCTCAACCGTATCTCCTGATGGCCCCTTGAAGGAGCAGGTCCACAACGAAGTAGTCGAGCATGGTAATTCCGAGATGGCTTCCAGCTTGGGAAAAGGACCCGGGTTTGCTGTAGGCCGCTGAACGTAAACCCTAAACCCTAAACCCTAAACCCTAAACCCTAAACCCCTACACCCCTAAACCCTAAGCCTTAAACCGGTTTGGGGCTGAGGGTTTAGTTTAGGGTTTGCCAAGAACGAAGTTCCCGCTCTCTGAGGCGGTTTCAGAGTCTTACATCAGACGACTGTGACGAAGAACAATCCTAACCGTCAACCCTAAACCCTAAAACCCTAAACTTCCCTGAAACCCCAACCCTCAACCCTAAATTAAACCCAAAGCCCTAAACCTAAACCCCCAAACCCAAAACTCTTCTGTGTCATTTTACGTAGGGGGGGAGGGCTGCTGGGGTTTGGGAACTTACGGTTCAGGGCGAATTTCGGGCTTAAGGCTTCAGGGCGCATGATTTAGAAACATGGGCCCTGAAATAAGTAGAATCGGGTTTTGCAGGTGGTTTCTACTACATGTAGAGAAGGACCTTCAAGGTACCCTAAACCCTAAACCCTTCAAACTTGGCCCTTTATGGTAGACGCCAATGAATCTTCCTTTCCAGCATCCTAATGGAACTGCACACACAGGTTAAAGGCTGCCGACAGTACTACTACCCTAAACCCCAAACTCTCAACCCTAAGCCCTATTGTGGTACCCCCAAACAGGTAAAGGTTATACCTGCTCTACTACGAAGTAATCTTGGCTGACTTTTGAACCCCCCGAACTTTGAGCCTACATGTTGTAGTTCATATAGGAACGCACCATAAACCCTAAAGCGTAAGAGCCAACCCGGAGAAGGAAGGGCAATGAGTTTGCCCTACCCTAGGCCCTAAACCCTAAACCCTAGGCCCTAAAGCAAAACCCTAAACCCTAAACCCTAGGCCCTAAACCCTAAACCCTAAACGCTAGGCCCTAAACCCTAAACCCTAAACGCTAGGCCCTAAACCCTACAAACCCTAAACTAGTTTCGAAGGCTGTGAGGCTATGGGGTCTCAACTTGATGGGGAGCAGAAGGAAAGCCCTGGTTTAGGGTTTACGTTAGGGCCGTTTAGGGTTCAGTGGTGTAGGGCCGTTTAGGGTTTGTTTATAGGGTTTAGGGTTCAGGAGTGTAGGGTTTACTTTAGGGCCGCCCAGGGTGTAGGGTTTATAGGGTGTAGGGTTCAGGGGTGTAGGATTTAGGGGTTAAGGGTTCGGGGTTTTTTAGGGTTGGGGATTTACGGTTCACGTTAGGGCCCTTCTGAAAACTGTTCAGAAAAGGGTGGGGGGGTCGCACCATTTCATGTTCGGGTTCAGGGTATAGGGTATATAGGGTTTAGGGTTTAGGGTTTAGGGTTGTTTGCATGGGGGATTAAACCCCTAAACTCTGCAACCCCAAAGCTCTCAACCGCAAAAACCGGCCTAAACCGTCCTAAACCCCAAACCCCTAACCCTGCAAAACCTGAACAAGCGGCGAAGCCCCAACCGTACGGCTATAAGCTATCCCTCAACCCTAAATCCTTCGCTCCTTTTTTCGCCTCACTGCGTCGGCCGACAGCAAGCCATCGGCTAAAGGCTTCAGAGTCCCGGGCCTTTTTTGTATTTACAGTTTAGGGTTTCGGGGTTTAGGGTTTAGGGTTTAGGGTTTAGGGTGGCCTTTTTTGTATCAGGGGCGGCGGTTTTTACGGTTTAGGGTTTGGGACCCAGGGCTTGGGGGAGGGCTGAGGTTTGGCTCTGGCAGCCTGGAAAGTCTCCCTACCTAGGATCTTAAGGGTTTAGGGTTTAGGGTTTAGGGTTTAGGGTTTAGGGCTAGTACCCTAAACCCTAGGCCCTAAACCCCAAAACTCTAAACCCAAAACCCCTAAACCCTGAACCCCTAAACCCCTAAACCCTAAAGCGCCTAGTATTCACCCTCACCTGAGCCAGAGTCTTCCGTGGAAGGAAATTCCTCCGTCTCAGTCATCGGATCGCAGTTGGAAGTGATCGCTGTACCTTTGGGTTTAGGGTTTAGGGTCTAGAGTTGGTTCAGGGTTTAGGAGTTAATTACGGAACATATTTGTGTTTAGGGTTTAGGGTTTAGGGTTTAGGGTCTAGAGTTGGTTTAGGGTTTAGGGCTTAATTACGGAACATATCCAACAACTATACAGAGCGCCCAATACCTTGCCGGTAAGGGCTATACCCAACATGATAGGTGGCTTGGAACGATAAGTCAAGGTACATTCCTTAACTGATGGGTATTGGGCTCTTTCGGTAGTGGACCCCTGCTCTCTCGCGCACACACACACACACACACACACACACACACACACACACACACACGCACACACTAACATGGAACCCAGAAACAGTCATCTTTTACAGCAGCAGTAAGATGCAAAGCGCCCCTTTCAGCAACGATTTGGCTTAGGGGGCTATGCTTACCCATAGGCCCCATAGTAGTTCCTTTTTGGTCGTTACCTTATAGGATTCTACCCCAAAAAGGAACTACTTTAGGGCCTATGGGTAGGTTCAGAAGGTTCTGAGGGCAACAGATCTTGCGATGATCGACGAAGCAGGATGCAGCCCGAGTTTGGGATGACAAAAGCGTCCCGATTCGGGCTGCCCTGTTTATACCCATAGCGAAATCCCCTCGGTGCTTGCTGAGGGTTTAGGGTTTAGGGCTTAGGATTTGCTGACCGGCCAAGCACCCTCAAACCCTAAACCCTCGTTGCCTACGTTCACCAGTACCCTGTCTCTGGGGGATGGAACAAGTATACATTGCATAACTATTGATTCTGGCTGGTCATGTCTTGCGGGACCGTTCCAAAGGCTGCTTACTTACTCGATTAGGTGCTAGTTCGTGTGCAGGGCTTCGCGGATCCGGGTTTAAGAGGGGCGGGCTTGAAGGCCTTTGGCCAGATGCACGGTCATCAGACTGTTGGGATTGTGTTTCGGCCAAAGTGGCTTCAGGGCCTTAGGCGCTACAACAAGGCCTACTAGGCCTACTACAAGGGTTACCAGAAGGGCTGTTTTCATGGTTTCTACAAGGCTTAAAGAATTGGTCTTGCGGGATGTACCTAAACCCTAACTTTCTTTAAAACTACACGAACCTATGTACCCATCACGGGATGAGGAAACATCTCCATGAACGAAGGGAAGTTCAGTAGCTCCTAACCATGAAGTAGGCTACTCAGACAAGGGTGCTACGAGTGAACACTAAACCCTAAACCCTAAGGCGTTGGATTTGCAGTCCAGTTCTTTGCTTGACTCTGAGTGAAGGGCCAATAATGCGAAAAAGCTTCACTAACAGTCCCTATCCAAAGGACCCAGTGGACCATGAAAGAATGAATAGACATGCCTTAACTAATCCTAAACCGTATAGACTCAACCCTAAACCCTAAACCCGAAACCTTAAGACCTGAACTGAAACCCTCAGCCCCCTCGTCCCGAAACCCTAAACCCAGTAAGATGCCCACTGCGACCTCGCCACTGTCGACACTGCAGCGGCCACGACCCAGGAAAAGCTGCAGCATGCATGGCCCTGCACGTGGAAGTGTCGCCAGTCGCCGCATACCCAGACCTTGGGTTACGGAACGCTAGGATTGAGGTTCCTAAGGGAGGGTTTAGGGTTTAGGGTCGAAGGGTCTTTTCTGGAAGGGCTTCATAACAAGGGTTAGGGTTAAAAGTATAGGGTTTAGGTAAAGCTTAAGGGCTTCAGCACCTCAAAGAGCAGGCAAACATAGGATGCAAGTGAGAGCTGGGCATACAAGTACCATTCACCAAGCGGGTCCATATATACTACTGTCCTGGAATGAAGTCCCCAAAACCATAAGAGAGATGGTCTTTCGGGACCGAATTGCAGAATAGTATAGTATATATGGACCCTCTGGGTAACAGTTGTGTTGTCCTCGGATCTTTGATTCAACCTTGAAATTGGCGTAAGCCCTAGTCACACTTGCAGCTTCTAGCGCAAACCGTCACTTCTAAGGTAAAGCTCCTAATAACTACAATAGCGTTTTGGGGCCCCCATTATACTATACTTATACTCAGGAATCTCCAAAGTGGTATAGGTGTTGTTTAGGCCCCTATATTACCCTAAGGGTCCATGTACCTAAATAGTATAGACATTGGCCCTACTAAAGTACCTATTATATAGGAACTACATTAAGGCCAAAGTATACACTATTTGGGTACATGGACCCTTAGAGTTAGACTCCACACCATACCCTAAACCTCGAACCTCGCAGCCTCACACCACCCCCAACGCCCAACCCTACTGTAACACCTGCTGGACCATACACCCTAAACCCTTGAAAAAGGGCCATGAAAGGGTAGGATGGAGTTTGGGGGCGTATGTTATTGTTATAGTGTACCTGTACTCAAGTAGCCTAGGGGATACTAGCATGAATGAGACGCCGAAAATGATGATCGAATATATGAGCTGAGTAATCCGATGCTTCCAGGACCGCGCACGGGTCCCTGGAGCAAGCGTGACTAGTATAGGGGACAAAACAATTACCTATAATAATTTGGGTGGTCTTTATTATAGGGATACTAGAAAGGAGCCCCAAACCCCCTATTCTAATTCTTAAGGCCCCTACATTACCCAGCAATGCAGCAGCCTCCACACGTAGAATTT